GAGGCTCTAATTATGGGGCAGGGGAGAGATGATAAGACCGTGCTGGTGGTAGCCGTGTCACAAGGGAGTGGATGTGACAGGCGTGGGGTGGATTTGTAAACAGTGCGATGTAGGAAGGGAAAAAGGTGAAGTTAAGGATGTCGACTTTGAAGTATCTTAGATGTCATTTACAAACAAAAGCATTTCAGAATAGTTTTGAAAGAGAAGCAGGTGACAGTGAACTTGTTGTACGAGGTGAACTTATGGCTTGACCTCCAAGAAGCAGTTGGAAATACAGGAAACTCTCCGGAGACAGGTCAGAACCAGCGCGGTGTAGTTGTGGTTATTTAGGATAGAGGTAATCTAAATTCTTCTCCGTTTCCTGACTTTTTTCAACTTTGGTGTGACTCAGGTTCCACAGCTGAGGGTCATGTGTACTTTGTTACTTTGTTGTTTTTTAAAAAGATTTATTTATTTATTTTAGAGTACCAGTGAGCTAGCGAGTACAGGGCGAGAGGGAGAAGGAGAATCTCAAGCAGGCTCTGCACTCAGCAGGGCTCTAGCTCATGACCCTGAGATCATGATCTGAGCCGAAATCAAGAGTCAGATGCTTAACTGAGTGCCCCCCCCCACCCTGCACCCTGGTGCCCCGAGCCATGTGTACTTTTAAGTGTGAGGATGCTTTGTTTCCATGGTCTTGTTTTTAAAGAGAGGGAAAAAATGATAAACTTTCATGGAAAAGTACAATAAATGGGATTTGGATTTGTAAGCAGAATTTAAGGTCAGAACAGGGAGACATGAGCACGGTTAAAGGAATTGAACCTTAATGACAAAATATGCTCTTTAATATGTTTTTGTGGTGTTTACAACAGTCATCGTGAGCTTTCATAATAGCTGATGAGGTTAGCTGAGTAGGAAATTGAAGCGTAAATGATGCCATTAAGGTCACCCCGTGAGGTTGAGTCAGCTAGAGAAAGCACATTTTCTGCTTCTCATTCATTATAGTGCTCCGTGTTATCATTCTGTTTATCTGCTTCTTTTTAAACTTGTGGAGGCTGTTTTTGCTAATCACCTCCTTGTCTTAGGAGATTGTTCCATTTTAATATTTTCTCCAAGACGTAAAAAAATGTTGTCATTTTTTGTTGTGCTTGTATCAAATCAAGGTAAGTCTTTGGAACAATCTAAAAATAAACTGTTGAGGTGTTAGGACAAATTTAAGTTTTACGGTTTGAACTTCAATGTGTGTATTAGTTGATTTTGGTAGGTGATAACTGTCAGGTGCTCATCTGAGTCTAAATTGATACAGTCACACACACAGCAGTCCTAATGTCTTCCTGGGGTTGTGTGGGAAGAAGGCTGGGAACGGTGGGGAAGGAAGCCTTTTCCAGGAACTATTCACATAGTTTCTTAATTTTCTTGGTGGAGGTAATTCTTATACATTTGATGTGCATTAGCTGTGTTTACAGAATGCTGCCAAAGTCGTATTTGTAATTTTATTTAATTCCTGTGGCAAATCATTACGGTCAGTTTAATACCACCATTTTATGTTTGAGGAAACTGGGATATTACACCCAGATCAGTATTGCCTTCTTAGTGAGTCTTGACATTGTGGGATATTAAATGGCTTTTATTAGTGAGTTGTTTCCAGCACAGAATCACTGTGAGAAGTTTTAAGTAGAATTAGAACACAATAAAAACAGTATGCTACTTTTAGTTGAAATCCTAAGGGTTTGTTTTTGTTTTTGTTTATGTTTAAGATTTTATTAATTTACCCATGAGAAACAGAGAGATGCAGAGACACAGGCAGAGGGAGAAGCAGGCTCCATGCAGGGAGCCTGATGTAGGACCTGATCCTGGGTCTCCAGGATCAGGCCCTGGGCTGAAGGTTGCGCTAAACTGCTGAGCCCCCTGGGCTGCCCAAAATCCTAGATTTTGAAGATGTATTTCAGCAAGGAACTTTTTTTTTTTTTAAGATTTTTAAAATTTATTTATTCATAGAGACACACAAAGAGAGGCAGAGACACAGGCAGAGGGAGAAGCAGGCTCCATGCAGGGAGCCTGACATGGGACTTGATCCCGGGTCTCCAGGATCACACCCGGGGCTGCAGGCCGTGCTAAACTGCTGAGCCACCTGGGCTGCCCAACTTTTTGTTTTTTTTTTGTTACTTGTATACACACACACATACACCTGATCTTATTTTTGTTTTCCAACTCAAAGTAAGAATAATAGTCCTTGTGACCCATTCTATGTTGCTCTCCTCAACCTTCTTCACTGTTTCTCGCCTCCTTCCAGCTACTTTGCTTTCTCCATCGGTTTCTGTTCTGAATTTTGGCACACGGATGATTTATGTGGAGAAGGTGTGATGAGAAAAGATGAAGGGCTGGAAGGCTGCGTTTATTACAAAAGTGTTTTTGCAAAGCAAACATAAAAAATAGAATCACACAGCGAACCCCATATATTCATTATTCTGATTCAACAGTTGTCAACCATTGCCACATTTGCTTTGCCTCTCCCATAGGTATAAATCTCAGATCTATTATATCTCTACCTCAGTTTTCACTCCTAAAAAAAAATAGAGACTTTACTAAATGCAATGCCAACATCATACTTAACAGAATTAACACTGATTCTTTGATATTATCAGTTATCTAGTCCATAATCAAATTTCCTGGTTCCTAGAAATGTCTTTTTACAGTTGATTTGTTCAAATCCAGATCAAATACGTTCCACACATTACATTTGGTTAAGGACCAAACTGAAAGCAGATGGTTATTAAGGAGCTGCATGGAGAAGCTCTCATTGACTGACCTTTCCAACAATTTTATTTTTAGCTGCCTCTGACATTCCTTCTTGCTCTTTTATTCTGAACTAATTTCTTCTTTTTTGGGGACGAGTTGTGGAGGAGCACACCAGATTTTATATATTACAATTGAGAAAGTAAAAGTTTATTTCAGAAATAAGTATTTGATGGGGCACCAGGGTGGCTCAGTTGGTTGAGTGTCTGCCTTCATCTCAGGTCGTGAACCCCAGGGTCCCAGTACAAGTGCCCCACATCGGGCTCCCTGCTCAGCGGAGAGCGGGCTTCTCCCTCTCCTCTGCCTCTCTCCCGGTTCATGCTCCCACTTTTGCTCATTCTCTCTCAAATAAATAAATAAAATCTTAAAAAAAAAAAGTATTTAAAATACTAACCTCCATATTTGGCAGACCATATAATAAGAATGGTCCATAAAGAATCTTAACAGTTCCCTTGCAGTATCCTTGTACACGTAACTATATGGAATTGCCCTGAGTCACTAAAAATAATACTAAAATCAGTTTGAGTGTAATGTACTGCTGGGTATAACCAACCTAGTATAATTCTACCTGGATGTTACAACTAAGGGCCTTTCTCGAGTTTTGGAGTGGAAGTGATAGAGCCTGATTGTTGAAATAACTTTTCCTAGTTGTTGTGTACTCTTAATTTAGACCAGATTTACTAGTTGCCAAGGTGAAGCTTGGAAATTTATATCGTTTCTCTAGGACAGTTAAGACTCTGTTAATACAACTCCCTTGACTCATCTGGAGAGATACACAAATGGGTTTTGTATTAAAGAAATTTCAGAGTCTTTTGAACAATGCAGAGAAGTTTATCACATTAGTATTTTTGTTTTTAAAAAACAACAGAGTAATGTAAATAAAGATTTTTGTATGAAACTGTCATTCCAGTTTTTTTTTTTTTTTTTTTTTTTTTTTTTATAAAAAGTCTCTTTTTGGTAGTGAGCCAGGCATTATGCACAAAAAAGATGGAGTCCTCTGCCCAGGCTTGCACATAGAGGTGCAGGCTTGGGGATGTTCAAGGAGAGTCAGCTGGTATTTTAGGCAGTTTCTGGCTGATAGCAGTCAAGCACCTTAAGGAAGGGCCCCCTATTTCTCCTTTTATCAAAGGCTTGTTAGAGGCAGTGGTGGTACAGTGGCCTATGTTTCAGATGCTATTTGGAAATGAAGATTTGTTAAAGTAACCATGTGAAGAACATTTACAGCGATATCATATTTTACATGATAATGTCTCACAATATAGCACTCACTTTTTTGGCAACTTCTTATAATAGACTACCATATAATTAATTGGTACAGAGTCGACAGCCAAAAGAAAGTGAAAATGGGCCAGTGAAGTAAAAATAGATTAAACAAATCTATGAACTTCATATGATATATATAGTGGAGCCTATTTAATTTTATTTTTCTGTGTATCTCTAGGCCATTTCTCTGTTTTCTAGCCCAGTAATTTTAAAAAGCCAATAATAGGGAGTAGGCTGCTGTAGTTAAGTAGCTAGAAGCAGTAAGTTATCCCTGATAATCAAAACACCAGTGGTGTGGAGATGGGGAATTTAAATTTAGAAAAGAATAGAAACAGGATCCCAAACAAACTCAGGTGACCATAGATTGATTTCAAGTTGGTAAATGAAAAGACATTCCTAGCTCAAAACGTCTGAGGAGATGATTATTTGGCCACAAAATTTAATCAGTGGTATTATTCATAAGAATGACCTGGAGTGAGCAGAAAATGTTCGATAGAATATAGCAAGTCCTCTTTAATGAAAAAGGTTTGTGATATATTTTAAGAAGCTTTTGATCAGTGCTAAAATTTCACAAAACGTTGGTACTTAAAGAGCCTTGAGTGCCTGCTATCATTCCTATTTAATAAAATGTGGTGCTTAGATGTCTTTGTTATCTACCAAATTCACCTGTATGGACCACTTCTTTTTCTAATGATGCCAGGTAAATGACATTTCTCTAGTCCAATCTGATTTAGGAATTGTTTCTAAGGGATTGAGGCAAGAAAAAATATAAAGATGTTTTCTACAAATGTTTGGGGTGTCTGATGTACAGTAAACACTCAAATACTTGTCTGGAGAGGTGCTCAATTCTTGCTAAAATAATTAGCCCATCCAATCTAAAATTTTAAGAACTGTGGAATTCATGATTGGAAAAAATCTCTTAAGCTGTAAAAATATGATATTTTATACTTGTTGAATTATAGGCTGAAGACTTTAAGTGACAAGTCAAGAGAAGCTAAAGTAAAAAGCAAACCAAGGTAAGCCTGTGCTAAGATTTAATTTACTGTGACTTAAATTTTATACAGCTTTCGGCTCTAGTTATAAAAGTACGGTTACTTTAGTGGATTTTACATCTGTTGAGTGCATTGACAACAAAACAATCTGATTATTTCTAAATTGTGTAACACTGGAAGATTTTCTGATAAAATTGTGAAATGGCTGAAGACATGGTGAGGTGTAGTTTTTTTCTAGGACAACCAGTGGTTATTATTTGATCACAGTTAATCATTTTGTATATTAAGCACAGAGTAAAAGTCCTGCATTATTGAGAAGCAGATTAATAATGAAATAATACTTGGCGAGTGAGCCTGTGAAGCTGTGTTACATGTTTTATATAAAAACACCAGTGGTCGTTGTACAACTTTTTCTTTTCTTTCTTTTTTTAAAGTAAAGCACGACCAAATTTCACTTTAAGCCTAGAGATTATGAGTTTTTTTAAAAAAATATATTTTATTTATTTATTCATGACAGAGAGAGAGAGAGAGAAAGGCAGAGACACAGGCAGAGGGAGAAGCAGGCCTCATGTAGGGATCCTGGGTCTCTCCAGGATCACACCCTGGCTGAAGGCGGCGCGGCGGCGCTAAACTGCTGGGCCACCGGGGTTGCCCGGGATTATGAGTTTTTAAAAACAATTCTTATTATCTAGCATTTTATCAAGGTATTCATCGTATTAAGTGCTAAAAATAATCTATAAGGCAGAGTGATGGATGACAGTAGTTTGCAGTATTTTCGTTGTGAAATAAAATAAGACATTTCTCTAAAAGTTTAGGTAAATTGTCATTAGTAACTTAAAAGTATTCCACATTACAACTGACAGTGTCAAAATTCTCATATGTATTTTTTTTTTAAGTTGGCCTAAATTGGAAGCAATTTTAATAAAATAAGTTTCTGTTTTTGTTTTTTGGCAGGACTGTTCCATGTTTGCCAAAGTACTCTGCTGGTCTAGAATTACTTAGCAGGTAAACGTTTGCATTTAAATAAAAAATTATGCTTCTGACTATTGTCTAAAAAATTTTTATACTTTTATAGATAGAAACCTTAAAACAACTAAATTTTACCTAAACATAGTGACTAGAAATGATTAACTTCTTCATTTTCCTGAGGGGTTTTTACATTTCATTGATGAATGCAAAGGCTATTCATATTCAGACTTTGAGCAGATTGATCACTCTTGTATTTGCTAGTCAATACTTTATTATGTGAATTTATGTTTATGGTTTTTCTGTTGCAAGAAAATTGATTTTGGATTTAAGTCTTTAAATTCTCTTTGATTTTTAATTTTATACTGTTTTTTCTCTACTCCCCTCCTATTGGCATGCAGATCAATATTAAAATACATGATTTTCTTACATATGGCACCAAAAGCATAAGAAACAAAAGAAAAAAATATAGATAAATTGGACTTTATCAAAATTAAAAACCTCTGTATTTCATAGAACCCATCAAGAAAGTGAAACAGCAATCCACAGAATAGGAGAAAATATTTGCAAATCATTTACCTGCTGAGGGACTTGAATCTAAAATATATAAAGAACTTCTATAACTCAACAAAGAAAGACAGCCCAATGAAGAATAGGCAAAGGATTTGAATAGATATTTCTCTAAAGAAGATATAAATAGCCAATAGTCAGATGAAAAGATGTTCACCATTTGTGGATGCTAATCAAGACCACAATTGAGATACCACTTCACATCCACTAGCATGGCAGTGATCAAAAAGACAGAAATAACAAGCATTGTTGAGGACGGGGAGAAATAGAGCCTTTTGCACACTGCTGGTAGGAATGTAAAATGGTGCAGCTGCTGTGGAAAACAGTTTGATAGTTTCTTAAAAAATTAAACATAGACCATGTGACCTGGCAGTTTCACACCAAGAGAATTGAAAACTTATGTCCACATAGAAACTTATGCACAAATGTGCATAGCAGTTTATCCATAAAGCAGAATTATTCATAATGGCCAAAAAGTGGAAACAACACAAATATTCATCTACCAATGAGCATGTATTTTAGCGGCGGAAAGGAACAGAGTGCTGGGACATATTGTTCTTCATGTAGATGAAACCTAAAAACCAACACAAAGGTTATGTATTACATGATTCCTTTTACGTGAAATGTCCAGAATAGGCAAGTCCCTAGAGACAGATTAGTGGTTGCCAAGGATTGAGAGGGGAATGGGTATGGGTTTCTGTTTGGGGTGATGGAAATGATTTGGAATTAGATAGTAGTGATAGTTGTCCAACTCTGTGAGTGTACTAAAAACTGCTGAATTGTACACTTTAAAAGGGTGTGAATTACCTCAATATAGCTGTTATAAAAATATATAGTTTAAGTATATGTTATATATGCTTCTGAAGTTAATAATATGTTCATTCTCCTGAGCTGCATTTGTGATGACAAAGTCACCTATGCCTACATTTTACTTTTTCTTTTTTAGCTCTTTACTGGATTTCTTTTTATGGTTGCTAAATCTAGAGATATTTTTTCTTGTTTGTAATGGAAAGTACTTAATTTGATACCGATTTCCTGCTTGGTTTTGTTGAGTGAAGAGCATAAGTGAACATGAAAGAAGGTATATAGTAAAAATCGGTGGTGTACTGTTTACATTTTATCTCTTAAATAAATCTAGTGATTTAGTTGAATGAACTTCATTGAAAGATTTATATTAGATGTGTAGACTTTCACGTATGGTAGTTTTTTGAGACAGGATGCCTTGTGGGACTTGACATGAAAATTTACAACCATAGGAAGATGTCCATAGTATGTCCATTCATTGCCTTGGAACACTGTTTTTTCTTTTTGGAACTAATAGCAAGTGGAGGAAAGACCATTTTAAATACCAGATCTCTATATTATAATTTTTTTAATTGTTAAAAATTGTGATAAAATACCCATAACATGAAATTTACCATCTTAACCATTTTTAGGTGCAATTTAGTAGTGTTAAATACATTCATGTTGTTATGCATTCAGTCTCCAAAATTTCATCTTGCAAAAATGAAACTCTGTACCTATTAAACAACAACTTCTTCCCTACCTCTGGTGAACATCATTTCATTTTCTCTTTCTGTGAATTTGATTAGTCTAGGTGCCGCATATAAGTGAACTCAGATAGTATTTGTCTTTTTGTGACTGGCTTGTTTCACTTAGCATACTTTTTAAATTCTAATGTAAACTTTTCTGTCCAAGCATATGTCAGAATTTTCTTTTTAAGGCTGATGAATGTTCCATTATAACTATCTACCACATTTTCCTTATCCTTTCATCTATCAGTGAATGCTTAGGTTGCTTCCACCTTTTGGCTTTTGTGAGTGATGCTACTGTGAACATGAGTGTGCAAACCTCTCTTCAGGACTCTTCTTTCAAATTTTTTGGATATGTACTCAGAATTGCTGGATCATATGATCATTATATTTTTAATTTTTTGAAGAACCCCTGTAGTATTTTACAGAGCAGCCACACCATTTTACATTCCCACCAACAGTGCGTGGCGATTCCCATTTATCCATATCCTCACCAAAAGGCTTTTTTTTTAAATAGCCATTCTAACTGATTTGAAGTAGTATCTCATTGTGGTTTTGATTTGTATTTCCTTAATTACTGATGGTGGTGAGCATCTTTGCATTTCCTTTTATATATCTTTTTTAGAAAGAAGTCCTTTGCCCATTTTTGGATAGGGTAATTTTTTGTTGTTGTTGACTATCCTTTTCCCATTGCATGGTCTTGGCACCCTTGTTGAAAATTATTTGACCATGTATGTGAGTATTTATTCTTGGGCTATTTGATTGGTCCATATATCTGCTTTTATTATAATAGCACACTGTTTTGATTATGATAGCTTTTTAGTAAGTTTTATTTTTTTTATTTTTTTATTTATTTATGATAGTCACAGAGAGAGAGAGAGAGAGAGAGAGAGAGAGAGAGAGGCAGAGACACAGGCAGAGGGAGAAGCAGGCTCCATGCACCGGGAGCCCGATGTGGGATTCGATCCTGGGTCTCCAGGATCACGCCCTGGGCCAAAGGCAGGCGCCAAACCGCTGTGCCACCCAGGGATCCCCTTTTAGTAAGTTTTAAAATCAGAAAGTCTGAGTCCTCCAACTTTGTTTTTATCAGGGTGGTTTTGGCTATTCAGGGTCTCTTGAGATTTCCATATGAATTTTAGGATGGATTTTTCTTCTACAAAAAATGCCATTGGAATTTTGCCTAATTGCTCTGGCTAGATCTTCTAGTACTGTGTTGAATAGAATTAGCAGAGGCAGGCATCTTTGTCTTGTTTCTGATTCTTAGAGAAGTATGATGTTGGCTGTGGGTTTTTCATATGTAGTTTTTATTATGTTGACATCATTTACTTTTTTTAAAAAAAGATTTTATTTATTCATGAGAGACAGAGGGAGAGAGAGACAGAGAGGCAGAGGCATAGGCAGAGGGAGAAGCAGGCTCCAAGCAGGGAGCCTGATGTGGGACTCAATCCCAGGACCTCGGGATCACGCCCTGGGCCGAAGGCAGGCGCTAAACCACTGAGCCACCCAGGCATCCCAACATAATTTCCTTTTATTCCTTGTTTTTTGAGTTTTTATCATAAGAGTGTGTTGACTTTTGTTATGCTTTTTCAGCATCATTTGAAATTATATATTTTTCCCCTTCATTTTGATAATGTGGCATTTTACATTGATTGGTTTTCATATCTAAAACCAATATTGAATTGTAGGGAAAAAATTCCAATAGGTCATGGTATATAATCCTTTCAATATGCTGCTGAATTCAGTTTGCTAGTATTTTATTGAGGATATTTACATGAGTGTTCATAAAGGATATTGATTTGTAGTTTCTTGTAGTGTCTTTGGCTTATGTATCAGGGCAGTGCTGGCCTAGAATGAATTAGGGAGTATTCCTTCCTCTTCAGTTTTTTGGAAGAGTTTGAGATGGTTGTTTTTTGTTTTTGTTTTTTTTTTTTTTTTTTTTTTTTAATGTTTGGCAGAATCCATCAGTGAAGCCATCAGGATCCAGGCTTTTCTTTTTGGGGGAGGTTTTTTTTTTTTTTTTTAAAGATTTTTATTCATTCATGAGAGACACGGGGAGAGAGAGAGAGAGAGAGAGAGAGAGAGAGAGAGAGAGAGAGGCAGGCAGAGACACAGGCTCCATGCAGGGAGCCTGACATGGGACTCCATCCCGGGTCTCAGGATCACGCCCTGGGCGAAAGCAGTGCTAAACTGCTGAGCCACCCGGGCTGCCCTGGGGAGGTTTTGAGGTTGTTTTTTTTTTTTTTTTTTTTTTTTTTTTAAATGTTTTACCAGTTTTATCGAGATATAATTTAGATATGTCATGGTATAAGTTTAAAATGTACTGTATAGTTGCTTGATTTACATGTGTTGTGAAATGATCACAATGAGCTAAATTAGCATCTATCATCTCATAGAGATAAAACAGCAAAAACAAATATTTCTTCCTGTGATGATAATTCTTAACAGCTTTCATGTATGTCATACAGCAATGTTACTATAGTCATCATGTTGTACAATACATTCCAAGTACTGATCTGGGAGTTTATACCTTTTCACCACCTTCCTCTAGCACCCTCTCCCTCTACTCTTTACCTTTGATGACCACAGATCTCATCTCTTTTTCTGAGTTTGGATATTTTTTTTTTTTTATTCCACATAAAAGTGAGATCACACAGTATTTATCTTTCTCTTTCTGATGTATTTCACCTAGCATAATACCCTTAGAGTCCATCCATATTGTCACAAATGGCAAGATTTCCTCATTATTTATGGTTGAATAATATTCCATTGTGTATGTTATATATCTATACACCATTCATTCATTAGTGGATACCTAGGTGGTTTCCATGTCTTGACTATTGTAAATAATGCTGCTATAAACATCAGGGTGCAGATATCTTTTTGAGTTAGTATTTTTTTTTCTGTTGAATAAATACCTAGAAGTGGGATTGCTGGATTCTCCTCTGTTTTCCATAGTGGCTATACCTGTTTATAGTCCCACCAGCAGTGCACTGAGGATTCCTTTCTCTCAACTCACCAGCCTTTGTTATATCTTTTTGATGATTGCCAATCTAACAAGTTGGAGGTGGTCGTTCATTGTAGTTTTGATTTGTATTTCCATGATAATTAGTGATGTTGAGCATTTCTTCATATACCTGTTAGCCATTCATGTATCTTTGGGAAAATATCTAGTGAGGTATCTTGCACATTTTAAAAATTGGATTATTTGGGAGTTTTTTTGATATTGAGGTATATATGTTCCCTATATATTTTGGATATTAACCTTTTGTCAGATACATGGTTTGCAAATATTTTTTCCCATTCTGTAGGCTGTTCATTTTGCTATTTCTTTTGTGCTGCAGAAGCTTTTTAATTTGATGTAGTCCTACTACTTTTTGTTGCTTTTTCTTTAGGTGTCATATCCAAAAAATCATTGCCAAGATCCATGTCATGGAACTTTTTATCTATGTTTTCTTCTAGGAGTTTCATTGTTTCAAGTCTTACATTTAAATCTTAATCCATTTGGACTTAATTTTTGTGAGAGGTGTAAGAAAGGGGTATAGTTCCATTATTTTGCATGTGAATATCCCTTTTCCCAGGACCATTTACTGAAGAGATTATCTTTTCCATTGAGTATTCTTGACTCCCTTATCAAATGTTAGTTGACCACATATGCTTGGGGTTATTTCTGGACTTTCTATTCTGTTTCATTGATCTATTTGCTTTTATGCCAGTCCCATACTCTTCTGATTATTGTATCTCTATAGTGTAGCATGAGATCAGGAAATGTGATGCTTCACTCTTTGTTCTTGTTTCTTAGGATTGCTTTGGCTATTTGGGGTCTCTGGATGGCTATTTATACTTCTGTTAAAAAAAAAGCCTCTGGAATCTTGATAGGGATTGTGTTGAATCTATGGATAGTTTTTGGTAGTATTGACATTTTAACAATATTCTTCTGGTCCATGAACGTGGGATACCTTTCCATTTATTTTCGTCTTTGATTTCTTATATCATTGTCTTACAGCTGTCAGAGTAGAGATCTTTCCCCTTCTTGATTAAAGTGATTCCCGACTATCTTATTGTTTTTGATGCTATTGTAAATGGGATCGTTTTGTTTTTTGGATAATTTATTGTTACTTTATAGAAAGGTTACCGATTTTTGTATGTTAATTTTGTATCCTGCAACTTTATTGCTTTTGATTAGTTCCAACGGTTTTTTTTTTTTTTTGACAGAGTCTTTAGGATTTTCTATGTATAAAATTATGTCATCTGTAAGTAAAGACAATTGTACTTCTTCCTTTCCATTTCTGATGCCTTTTATTTCATTTTCTTGTCTAATTGTGCTGGCAAGGACTTCTGGTACTATGTTGAATAGGAGTGGTCAGATTGGACACCAGGAAAACTTTCAGCCTTTCACCATTGAGTATGGTGTTAGCTGTAAGTTTATATAGTAAGGCTTTTATTATGCGGAGTTACGTTCCATTTGTACTAATTTGTTAAGATTTTTTTTTTATCATGAGCAGATGTTGAATTTTGTCAGATGGCTTTTCTGCATCTATGGAGATGATCATATGTTTTTTTTTGTCTTTCTATTAATGTGGTGTATCACATTGATTTGCAGGTGTTGAACGATCCTTTCACCCCAGATATAAAGCCCACTTGATCATGGTGAATGATTCTTTTAATGTGCTGAATTCAACCTGCTAGTATTTTATTGAGAGTTTATGCATCCATATTCATCAGGAATATTGACCTTTAGTTTTCTTTTCTGATACTGTCCTTTTCTGGCTTTGATTTTAGGGTACTGCTAGCCTCCTAAAATGAGTTTGGGAGTATTCCTTTCCCTTCAATTTTTTGAAAGAGTTTGAGAAGGATTGGTGTTACAATTTTTCTTGAAATGTTTAGTAAAATTCACCAGTGAAGCCATCTTATCCTGGGCTTTCCTTCATTGGGAGATTTTTTATTATTGATTCAATCTCCTTACTAGTAATTGCTATTCAGATTTTTCTGTTTCTTCCTAATTCCATTTTGGTAGTCTTAATGTTTCTAAGAATTTTTCCATTTATTCTAGTTGTCCAGTTTGTTGGTGTATAGTTGTTATAGTAGCCTTTTATGGCCTTTTGTATTTTTGTGGTGTCAATTATAATGTCTCCTTTTTCATTTACAATTTTCTGATTTGGGTCCTCTTTTTTTCTGTGATTAGTCTAGCTAAAGTTTTGTCAATCATGTTTATCTTCAAAGAATCAACTCTTAGTTTGATTAATCTTTTCTGTTGTTTTCCTATTCTCTGTTTCATTTATTTCTTCTCCAATCTTTAGTATTTCCTTTCTTCTGCTAACTTTGACCTCAGGTTTTCTTTTTCTAGTTTTGTAAAGGTTGTTTATTTTGGATCTTTATTCTTAATGTAGGCATTTATTTGAACTTCCTTTTTAAAACTGTATTCTAAAAGTTTTGGTACGTTGTATTTCCATTTTCATTTGTTTCAAGATACATTTTTATTTCCTGTTTATTTTTATTTTTATTTTTATTTTTTTAAATTTCCTGTTTAATTTCTTCTTTGATTCACTGATTGTTCAGAAGTCAGATTTCAAACACTGCTCTGTAACCTACAGACTTCATTCAGATTTCATCAGCTTTCCCACTAATGCCTTTATTTCCTGGGACCAGGATTCAGTGCAAAATCATAGGTTATATTTAGCCACTGTACTGCCTTCATCTCCATTAATCTAGAACAGTTCCTGAGTCTTTGTTTTTCATAACCTCAACACTTTTGAAGAGTACTATTATCTTGCAAAATGCCCCTCAATTTGGATTTACGTGCTATTTTTTCATGATTAAATTCAAGTCAGTGTTTTTTTCCCCCAAGAATACCAGAAGGGCAATGTTGTGTCCTTCTCAGACACATATTTATATGTTTCATTACTGTGGATCACGTGGAGGGAAGTGTCTGTTATACTGTCTCCCCTTTTAATTTATGGGTATCTTGTGGGAAGATACTTCAAAACTGTGTAATAAATATGCTGTTTCTCTTCATCATTTCTCTAATTTTAGCAACCATTAGAATTCTTGCCTGAAACAATTATTGTTGTGCTTACCAAGTGGTGATTTTTTATGTTTGTCATTTTTTTTTTTTGCAATAATTAATTGGAATTCTACTACAGGAGAATTTCTCCTCTCCCTCCATTTGTTTGTTCAGTTGCTTATTTAAATCGCTGTGAGCTTGTGGATGTTTGTTTTATCCCCTGAGTTATAACCCTGTCACTACCATTATTTGTTGCTCAGATTGTCCCAGGTTGAGCCACTGGAAACCGCTTCAGGTTTCTTCTTTGTCCTTGAGATGTGTCCCCATTATATTTGAGTTGTCTTTCTCTTAAGGCACCAGAGGATGTTCCAAGTTAATCTTTAGATGGTATTTTTTTTAATGTGTGGTTTGCATTTTGAATTATTTTTGCATATTTTAGGTATGAAGATACATGGGCTGCACTTCACAGAAGAGCCAAGGAATGTGCAAGTGCTGGAGAGGTAAAGAATTAGCTCATCTTAAACTTGTGGGAAGAATATCTTTTTGTGATGTTAAATGTTAGTATTTTGTTTTGTTTAGATTTTTATTTATTTATTTGAGAGAGAGAGAGAGATGAGCAGGGGGGAAGGACAGAGGGAGAAGCATACTCCCTGCTGAGCAGGGCATCCAATGCAAGGCTCCATCCCAGGATCCTGGTATCATGACCTGAGCTGAAGGCAGTGGCTCTACCGATTGAGCCACCCAGGTGCTCCAAATGCTGTTTTGTAAGGAATTACATTTGGGATTACATTAAAATGTTTTAAAGGATATCTGAAATTTAATTTAGTAGTTGATTATAAAACTCCCTAAATTACATTTTGGTAATTTCTCTAAACTAAGCCTAAGTTTAGTTAGGCTAAGAGACTTTGTGACTTTTATTCTCAAGTCATAAGTAAATATTTGGTTCATCTAGGTATAATGTTTTGAATTTACGTCTGTTGCCTAAAGTCATTAATTTGCTTAACAAATAAATGTAAATGTTTCAGATGTCATCATCACTTCTCTTAGAAGAACAAATTATTTTCTAGCACTACATGAAGAGTGTATAATGAACAAAAGTGACCGGTAATTAAAAGTAGTTGGTACATGTACTGAAAGCTTTATTAGCTAAGATCAAATACTCTGTGCTATTGATGTCAATCAAACTTCTTTCTGAAAACATTTCTGTGATTCTGACTTTTAATTAATTTAGACTGACTTTAGTTATCACTTACCTAAATTAGTGAAGCTGTAGCAGTTACACAGAGCAGAGTAGTACATGTGATGAAAGTTAGACATTAGTGTTTCTGTTAGAAGTTACTGAAAAGAGGGAATGTAGGTTTCTGATTGTAAGGCAGATCAGGTACTTTGAAAAGCCTTGTAGCTACAGGCTAAATGCTGGATAGATTTTTTAAAAATTATTTAATGCATTGGGTTCACAAAAAGTAAGGGAGACCCTAAAGGGGGGGAAAAAGGAAGAAGAAGAAGAAGAAAACAAAAAAAGAACAGGGAACTGAAATCAGAGTAGCTTAAAAAAAAAGAAAAAAAAAACACAACCCATAGAAGCTGGGGTAAAATACTAAAATAAAAGCTTTCAAGATTTATGGAGAAAGGAGACTTTGTGGGGAACTGGATCTGAGACTTCTGCACAGAGCTCTTGGATCTCTGAAGTGGCTGCATCCCTCAGTGAAAGGTTAGAGTAGAAAAGAAAAGCTACCTGTCTGCAAAAGGAGGCGACATGAAAACTTCTCTACCTTCAGAACAGCTTAGAATAAATGCAGTCCTCTTTCTGGATTTGTTACTATCGCCTTGGCCTCCTTTCAGTGTGGGGCTCCAATTTCTACTTCCTGCACGATCGAGGAACCACTGAAGTAAAAGTGAAAGGATCACGGGTGACTGTTCCTTGACACCCAACAGAAACAAACACAGCTTCTACATGGAGGGAACTGGATAAACCTAGGCCCCTTAGTGTTTCTGCAGACTAAGGATGTGAGATATTGCAGACTATTAAATAGGTATATGAAAAGTTTTTGAAAGCTTTTATAGAGATAAAAGATGGATTGAAAAATGAGTAAGGAATAAGACTTTATCAAACACGACTTTAGAAAGTCATATTAAAAACCCAAAGGGTGTGCTTCAATAGCACTTACATACAAACGAAGAAAGAATATAGTGTTGTAGAAGTCACTTAGAAGGGATCTCTGAGGTAAGAAAGTGGAAAATATGAAAGATGAGTTAATAGAGAATAGTTACAGAAGATCCTGAGGTTGAACCAAATGAAATTACCAGTACTAGACTAATTTTGATTTGGAAAGTTAGAGTTTCATATGGATCAACTTAACTAATAAACATTATGGGGGCACCTGAGTGGCTCAGTTTGTTAAGCATCTGCCTTTGGCGCAGGTCATCATCTTCAGGTCCTGGGATCAAGCCTCTGCTGAGCGGGAGCCTCCTTCTCCCTCTCTCTGATCCTTCTCCCCACTTAGGACTGCCCTTGTGCATGCTCTCTCTGTCTCAAATAAATAAATAAAATCTTTAAAAAAAGAAACCTAGAAAATGAGGGAAAGACAATGTAGGAGAAGATACATATGAAAGACAAAAATTATAAGGAAAAAAAAAACAATAAATCCATAATCAAAATGGGAGAGTTTTAATATATTCCTCTTAATTGAGAGGGAAAAAAAAGATAAAATAAGTATGGATATAGGAAATTTAAATAATGTGATTAACAAAGTTGATCGGATGGACAAATGCAGACTACTCTCCCGACAAATATTGAAGCATATTTGGAACACGTAAACATTGACCATATACTGTGGCATAAAGCAATCCTCACCAAGTTTCATATAAATGAAGTCATACAGAATATTCTCTGATCTCACTGCAAATGAAGCTGTAAGTAAGAGAAAACAATTTTGAAAATTCCATATGTTTGGAAGTAAAAAATATTATGAGTTTTTATGATTCAAAGAAGGAAAAGCATTGAAAATTTAAAATATACATATGAACTGTTGAATTTTCTCAATTCACTTAGAGGGACTTAGAGGGACGTTTTATTTTTTATTTATTTTTATTTTTTTATTTTTTTATTTATGATAGAGAGAGAGAGAGAGGCAGAGACACAGGCAGAGGGAGAAGCAGGCTCCATGCACCGGGAGCCTGACGTGGGATTCGATCCCGGGTCTCCAGGATCGCGCCCTGGGCTAAAGGCAGGCGCCAAACCGCTGCGCCACCCAGGGATCCCTAGAGGGACGTTTTATAGAGGAAAAAGATGGAGAGTGAGCTAATCTAACAAGTATTTGGAAAGAGAACAGAATAAACCTTAATGAAAGATGATAAAGATAAGTAAATGAAATAGAATATAAAATTACAGTAGAAGCTAAACAAAGTGAAGTATTCTGGGTTTTTAAAGTTTTATTTATTTTTTAGTAATCTCTATGCCTACCATGAGGCTTGAACTCACACCCCAAGATCAAGAGTTACATGCTCTCCCAACTGAGCCAGCACTTTGGGGGCAACTTAGTGCCCCCAAAGTGAAAAGGTCTTAGAGAAGACTAATACAGTAGCTAAGTCTCTGGTGATATTGATCAAGAGACAATTTTAAGAATTGAAGGGAATTAAAAAAAAAGGGGGAATATAACCAGTTATTGCAGAGATTGAGAAGCTTAAGAGTTTATAAACAATTCTGACAAACTTGAAAAGTTAGATGAAATGCAAAAATCCTAGAAATTTTTCCCAAAATCAATTTTAGAAGCAGTTCTAATCCTAAGTAGTATTAAGGCCATTAAATAAATTGTGTTAGTGATTAAAAATTCTGCTAAGGAAGCAACGGCCCACAGAGTTAGATTACTATCAAACTTCTAGGATCTACCATTTCAGTGTTAGACAAATTCTGGCAGGAAATGAAAAAAGTGGAAACTGTGACGAGCTTATTTTATGAGATTAGGGGAGCTTTGATACTGAAACCCAACAAGGGAAGTATGAGAAAGTGACATTGAAGTCTAGTCTCATTCATGAATATAAATACAGAAATTATAAACAAAATAAAATCGTCATCTCTCACTTAACTTCAGTTTCTGGAAATCAGATGTTCTATGCAAAAACTCGATCAAGGAGCCTGTTTCCCATATTCAAAATTGGAAAAGTTATAATGTGTTACATGTCAACCCCAAACCTTCAACCAGCTTGCTTAAATATATTTAAAACCAGCAAAATGTCTACACATGAGGTTAGCAATCTGTTCAGATGTAAAGTGCTTAAGGCATAGTTTTCTGATTACCAAACCATGAACATACTCATTAAACAGTTGCTTATGTACAGTAATATGCACTGGCAATACACAAGGCCTGCATCTCCTTTATGGGTGTACTCCTCACACTGTCTTGTGATTGTGATATGCTGACAATTGTTATAATATAATTTAAGAATCTTCTCACACATTGCTTTAGAATGTGTATCAATCTTAAATATAAAGTTTTCTTATTATAAGTGGTAGCCAGAACTTCGTATTGTTACGTGTATGTCCTGTGAGTGCTGGAAGACGGAAGGCATTCCTCAGTGTGTGGTTGTGTGGCAAACCAAACACAGCAGCACATGAAAAACAAAATACTATATACCAGGTTTATTCCAGGAATAAAAGACTGACATTAGAGATCTTTTTTTTCCCCCTTGAGAGAGAGAAAAAGAGAGAGAGTAGCGGAGAAGAGGGGCAGAGGGAGGGAAGGAGTCTTAGGCTCCACACCCAGCATGGAGCCTGACTCGGGACTCAGTCTCACTACCATGAGATCATGACCTGAGCCAAAATGAAGAGTTGGACACTATGCTGTGACTGAGCTGCCCCAACATTAGAGCTCTTTTAAATGCAGTTGACCACGTTTATGTATTAAAGGAGAAAAATATATGATCATCAGATGCAGAAAATACAATGAATGATTGTACAATATAATATAATCAAATGTAAAATTCAATAAAATTAAGCATCTAGTAAGGGTAAAATGATTTAGCAGGTTTTTGTAGAAGACCTGTTTGTCCTGATATCTGTCAAAACCTGCAGTATTTGACTTGTAGTGCATTGATGGCATATTCAAACATCTTGCTAAGTCCTCTTTTCTAATAACTTGTATTTGGGCATGGGAATTCATTTGTGTAAATGGTAGGATTTGTTTCTTTCCTCCTAATGTGTACAACTTCCATTTCTTGGTATCTTTTTACACTGGGTAGAACTTTCAGTATAATGTTGAGTAACAGATAAAGACCTTCATTCAAATTTTGGCTCCATCAGAGTTGAATGTGAAAGAAAAATTACATCTTTTGGGAAACAGTGGAAGACCTTTAAGACCTGAGGGTAGAGAAAGATTTATGGAAGGTATAAAAAGCACCAATCAAAAATGCTAACAGTTGTTTTCAGAGCTTGTTTGTTAACACCATGAAAAAGTTAAGCAGTTCATAAAACAGAGGACACAAATGTTCAGAAAATCTGAAC